GAATTTACCCCTACTAAAGAAAGAAACTTCAGACATTTTTTTAAAGAAAGTAACTTCATCGGAAACCAAAACCTTGCTTGGTACTCACAGTTGCCTAACCCCACATTACAAGCGTGCCTTTTGAACATGAGTTCTTGTCACTGAAGGTTGTCAAGCAAAGATTAAATACCACATGCTGAGTAAATTCCCACAGTAGAAGAGACTCTAACTGGGTTCTTTCCAAATCTCTAAAGTTCTACAATCATTTGAAACATTAAAAAATAGAAAGCTTCTCCAGTGTTTGGTCCAATTAAGATTTGAAGTTGGGCCAGACTATCTTTTTTTAATTTAATAATAAAACTTTATTACTGCCTAACCTTCTACTTTCCTCTCTGCTTCTTAAGAATATCCTATTTCTGTATCTGCTTCATCTTAACATCATGCAAAAGAAATCTATTTATATCTGGAAGTGAAACAGAATATAAAATAACCTATCTGCGTATAAAGGTAAAACCTGGTCTTCAGAAGTCTGAGTGATAAAGAGACAAAAGAAAATAAATCATTGTCAGCAAAAGCTGAAAAACAAAACAAGTTAGATTAAATTCCATGTCAGAAAGTTGAGAAGAGTAACATTTGAGAAGTGTATCACTTCTTTTCCCCAAGGTCCCTCTTTGAAAATGAGTTGAATCTAATGGTACTATAGACAATACAAAATTAATAAACCATAATTTTATTGTTTACAATGTTGATTATGTCCTTTAGGCTTCGTGTTTTTAACTGCTTCTATAAAACACCAAAAACCAAGAGATTTCATTTTTTTTTTTTAAACTTTAGTCCTAAACAGTATGTTCAAAACTTAAAAAATTTAAATAAGTTCATGAAATTATTTTTAAATTACTTTACTATTAAAATTACCTTTAATTAAATGTAATTAAACTTTTCATTTAGCATATTCTAAGCAAAACCCAGTTTTATATATTTCTATGTTCCTAAATATATTATTTTAAGGTTCATCAAAAATATCTCCTAAGTATTATATTTTCCTTCATTTTCCAGATTTTACTTTCTGAGAAATCAAGGTTACCCAGAGTTCAAACTTTCCAGAAGTGCTCTCTGGTCTTGTCTCTTTTCTTTGATCTCTCTCATATGTGTTAAAAATCACAATTTGGCAATTAAAATTGTAAAATAATCATGAATACAAAGCTTTGCCTCAAGGATTTCATCACAACATTATTTACACTAGTTAAAATTTGAAACAACATAAGTCTAACCACAGGAATAGCTTAAGGCTTAAGCCTTGACCTTTGGAGTTAGGCAACCTAGGTTTTGAATCTTAGGTCCCCACTTATTTTGTGTGTGACTTGGGAAAGTTATTTAATCCTCCGAAATTCAGTTTCATGTTTAGAAAATTGGGAGAGATCATATTTTTAAGGCATTAATACTTGGCAAGCACATAGGGCAGAGGTGGACCTCAGAGACCAGTATTTTCTCTGTCCATCAGCAGCTTTTGACATGTGAACACTAGCAGGTCTGCTTAGGTAATGTGACTGAATATATTGTGGATACTTATAGATGAGTGGAACTTAACATTCACTTGTTTCAACATATGCATTAAATCTAAAAATTTTTAATGCCTTTTTTCAGGGGTAAAAGATCCACCAGGAATATCTTCAATACCAAACAACATAAAAGAAAAGAAGTTGAAGTCTTTCACAAATGGAAGGTATTAAGATATCCTAAAAATTAAAAGGCATAAACAACAGTCCCTTGACATATCTTATCCTTTCTTCTCTAATACAGATACAGGATTCAAGGAGTGTCTATCTACCCCTATCATTAAGAGGAGGAAAAAGTGGGGATACCATTTTGTAGGCTTGAAGGGGGATTGCTTTCAAGTTGGTACTCCCTAGAATTTAGACAGCCTGTTGGTTAAATATTTTATTCAAAGAAGAACTATGGGTATGCAAAAGAACAAATGCAAGATCACAAGTAATTAGATAGTATAAACATAAGAATCATCTCAGGATTTCTCAGAGAAAAATGATAATGACACAGTGAGCTACACTGGTTATAGTTCGTTCATTCAAACAATAGGCATCTGTTTAAAGCCAACAATGTACCAGAATGACAAACACAAACAAAACAAGTTCAGACATTGCCCTAGCCTGCCTGGAAGTCTAGCAGGGAAGAGACAGTAAGCCATGAAATTGTGGAATGAATCATACGTACAATATGACACAATTGTAATAGAAGTTACATAGGAGCATAAAAGAAACTGTGCTCACTTGGCCTTATGAATCAGAATCAGAAGGCTGAATCATGAGTAGGAGAGCTGGGATGTAGTTCACTATAAAGTGCGGAGCAGCATACATGGGACACTGGGATTGATCCCTTTCACTGCCAACAACAAAAACAAACCAATGTACCCAGTTTCATTTATCAGCAGTTGTTTCCGTGGCTCATCTTTATGTAGCATATACCAGAGCTTCAGTTCTTCTGGCAAATAATATTCCATTGCATGAGTGATGAGAATTAAGTTGGGCAAGAACACAAGCAGAGTGTTTCCAGAAAGAACAGAATCTACAATGCCCAGAAAAGGGAAGACATTATGTACTAGAAAAGCTAAAAAAAATCAAGTATGGCTGTATTTGGATTTTAAAGGTGCTACTGCTTCACCTCTCCAATTTGGGAACCAATTGAAACATTGCTTTCAGAAACAGAGAATAAAAAAATCACTGTTATTGTTGAAAAGCTAGTTTGAGGAAAACACAAAGAATAGTCAAGATCATATTGCATTATTTTTAATGTTTAAATTATAAAACTGAGAAAAATGCCTTAATAATAATTATGGTTTGTGGTTTCGTACACTTTGGACCTCACTGAGCTATACCTTGAGCCTTTAGGGATGTTTTCATCAGTTATGATAGGTAACAGCAGACACAAAATTGACCATCTTGAAGGAATCTTTCATACTCTCAGAACTCTAGAAACAGAAGGTATGACCATTGTCATCCAGAGCTTACATGAAGTCAGTAACTAGGGTTGATCAGGACGTGACCAGGACTTAAGACCAGGATGGCATTGGACTTGAGATCCTCTGCCTCAACTTCCCAGTTGCTGGCATTATAGATGTATACTACCACACCTTGCTCCCAACTTGGTTTTTTTGCCAATTAGTTTACTCCATTTGTTTCTCCAGGAAGGACAATGTTCGTATATTAGAAATACTTTTCTTGCTGGGCACCAGTGCTCATCCTATAATCCTAGCTACTCAGGAGGCAAGATCAGAGAGGATGTGGTCAAAGCCAGCTCAGCAAATAGTTCATAAGACCCTATCTCGAAAAAAAAAAAAAACCAACACAAAAAAGGGCTGGCAGAAGTGGCTTAAGTGATAGAGTGCCTGCCTGGCAAACATGAGACCCTGAGTTCAAACTCCAAAACCATCACAAAAAAAAAACTTTTCTCTCAACATTTTCTCAGAACATGATCTTCCATCAGCTCTATTGTCTATCCTGGCCACATTGTCCTATATATTTCTTTTTGAATAACTGTCCTAACATAATTCCATTTTTCCAGCCTTTAATGATGCCTACAACTTCTTCAACAAGGATAAAACTGGCTGTATTGATTTGCATGGATTGATGTGCACTGTGGCTAAGTTGGGAATGACTCTATCCAAATATGACATCTATAATGAATTAAAATGTGCTGATCTTGACCGTGAGTATTTTGGCTCTTCATTATTTTCTCATAAAAGATTTTTGGTTTTTTTTGGTTTTTTTGGTTTTTTTTTTTTCCTTTTTCTTTTATTATTCATATGTGCATACAAGGCTTGGTTCATTTCACCCCCCTGCCCCCACCCCCTCCCTTACCACCCACTCCGCCCCCTCCCTCTCCCCCCCAATACCCAGCAGAAAACTATTTTGCCCTTATTTCTAATTTTGTTGTAAGAGAGTATAGCAATAATAGGAAGGAACAAGGGTTTTGGCTGGTTTGAGGATAGGATAGGTAATACAGCGGCATTGACTCAAGCATGGTGATTGTCCTGTGTGTGGGTGTTACCTTCTAGGTTAATTCTCATAAAAGACTTTTGTGAATACCTATTTTACTCTCCTGGACTGTATAAAATGGAGAAATAACCCTCCCTTCATTACTAAAAGCATACTTGGTAAACAAAAGTAAGGGTCCCCCCCACCATTTGCAGTTTCTTTCTTTTTTTTTTTTTTGCGTTACTGGGGCTTGAATGCAGGGCCTACACTTTGAGCCACTCCACCAGCCCTTTTATGTGATGGGGTTTTTTTTCTTTCAGATAGGGTCTTGCAAACTATTTGCCCAGACCAGCTTCGAACCATGATCTTTCTGATCTCTGCCTCCTTAGTAGCTAGGATTACAGGTGTGAGCCTCTGGTGTCTGGCATTGCAGTTTCATTGTCCAGAGTTTCAATTACCCATGGTGAACTGCAGTCCAAAAATATTAATATTTATCTCGACTCTTTCAAGAGAAAGAGACCACATTCACTTAAACTATTACAGTTTATTGTTATAATCATTCTATTTTACTGTTTGTTATTGCTGATAATCTCTATGACTAATTTATATATTAAGTTTTATCACAGGTATGTATGTATAGGAAAAAAGTATATATATATACACATATATATATATAGTACTGAACACTATATATAGAACATATATATAGAACTATATATAGAACACTATACATATATATATATATATACATATACATATATATATATATATATATATATATATGTATAGTGTTCAGTACTATGAGGTCTTAGGCACCCACTGGGAATCTTGAATGTATCTTCTGTGGTTAAGGGAGACTGCTGTCCAAGTGTATGTTTCTCTTTAAGAATATCAGTGAGGGATGTGTACAAGTTATGAAATCAAACTAATGCTATGAAATGGACTGTTCTTTGAAAAATCCTGTGTGGAAGCTAAGAGTGACTATCTACTGATGGAGTGGCTCAAGAGGTAGAGCTCCTGCCTAGCAAGCGAAAGGCCCTAAGTTCAACCCCTAGTATTGCCAAAAAAAAAAAAAAGAGAGAAAGAATAAAATGTAAGAGTGACTGTCAGAGGATTCCAAGATGGCAGCTAGAGGGAGGAAGCAGAAAGCATGCCTCCTAAAGTAAAATCTTGGAGACATGCTAGAGATACACCTTACAGGAAAAACCACCAAGAAGAGGCAAAACTTTGACTCCTCCACACCTCCAGCCTGCACATAGCATCTCCACTTCACGTTAAACAGAGAAACCAGGAGGGCTCCCTTGCCGCCACCAGATGGCAGCACCCAGACGGCTTGGGAAGACGCAGACCACAAGGTGAGCTAAGTGGGACGCAATACTCCCACAGACAACCCTGGGCCAGATCAGCATAGCCCCCTGGACAGACTGACCCCCACCCAGGAAAAAAAGAGAAAAAAAAAACTGAATAATAAGCAAGAACAACAAAAAAGTAATGTAGCAAAGAGGGCAGGGAGTCCTGAGCGCTGAAGAGCGGGGAAGGGGATATCCCTCACAACAAGCCAGCTGGAGAAGGCAGGAGCCGCAGCACGCCCAGCAACCAGGAGAAGGAAAGCTTGTAAAAGTGGTGGTAGGAGGAGAACTCCACAGGAGAGGGGAGAAGAACCACTTCCCACATGAACTGTAAATACACACGCCGGCCTGAGAAAGCGAATGCAGTGTCACCTCCCCCAGTGTGCTTGGCAAGGGGAAAGCTTGTAGCAGTGGTGGTCACGCCCAGGAGAACTCTAAGTAAACAAAGCCTGAAGGGCCAGGTGAGTGTTAAGTTCACTCCTGAGATCTGCATAAATAAAGCCTCCAGCAACAGCAGGCTGACAGCAGCAGGCAGGTGAGCCACAGCCTCAGATAGCCATTCACAGAACTGTCTCCAGACTCTTCTTTTCCCTTTCTTCCTCTGATGAGACAACAACTGAACTACACCTGCATGCTGAAAAACTTACTGAAACTGTATTACATTTGAACTTGGGACACTTTGTGGTATTTTTTGTTTTGTTTTTGGTTTGGTTTGGTTTTTTTCCCCTTTGATGAGACAACGACAGAACTACTTCTGAGACACCATCTCCAGGATTGGAGACTGAGGGGCTAACACCAAACTTTATTTGCATTTGAACTGGAGATTTTTTTATTTTTTTATTTTTTATTTATTTTTTTTTTTCTCTCAATCCTCTCTCTGTCTCTCTAATGCCTGCTCAGCTTACTGTTGATTAGTACACTATCTCTCCCTGTTTATATCTTTGAAACTTTTGTTTGTTTGTTTGTTTTGGGTTTTTTTGTTTATTTGTTCATTTCTTTTTTTCCTCTTTCTTTAACTTCCTTGCTTTCCCTCTCCTCTCACTCTTCCATTCTAAATATCACCATTGTTATTATTACAAGCTAGAAAATACTTATTTGCACACAGTACAGGGACAATAACAACACCAAGGGCAATGACAGGAAGACAAAAAAACAGGGAAACCAGTTTCCCCACAGCAAAAAAATTAGTACAGGAACCAGAGGGAAATGAAAAAAACAGATACTCAGATCCAGACTCCAACAAAATGAAGATAAACTATGCCAAATAACCCAATGAAGCCCACAAGAACAATCTAAAAGAAGAAATACTACAGGTAATCAATGAGAATTTTATAGAGATGATACTGGATATGGTCAGCCAAAATGTACAGGAGACACTAAAGAAATTCCAAGACAACAAAAATAGAGAATTTGAAAAAAAACAAGAAGAAATAAAAGAAACCATAGAAGCACTGTATAAACATGAAAGTGAAACAAAGAACATGATTAATAAAGAGATAAATGAACTCAGGACAAAAATAGACAACATTAAAGAGGAAACAACTCAGGATATGGAAAACCTCAGAAAAAAGAACGAAACAGAATTGCAAAACAAAACAGAGGGCCAATCCAGCAGAACAGAATAAACAGAAGACAGAATCTCAGAACTCGAAAATGAAATGGTAATTAAAAGAAAAACCAAAGAACTATTAGTTAAGCAACTCAAGGCGTGTGAAAAGAAAATGCAAGAACTCACCGACTCCATCAAAAGACCAAACTTGAGAATCATGGGTATCGAAGGAGAAGAGGTGCAAGCAAAGGGAATGCGTAATATATTCAACAAAATAATAACAGAAAATTTCCCAAATCTAGAGAAATATATTCCCATACAGATGCAAGAGGCCTCCAGAACACCAAACAGACCAGACCAAAATAGATATACCCCACGGCATATTATCATGAAAACAACAAATACAGAGACCCGTGAAAGAATATTGAAGGCTGTAAGAGAGAAGAAACAAATAACATACAAAGGTAAACCCATCAAAATCACAGCAGACTTCTCAACAGAAACATTAACAGCAAGAAGAACTTCAGGTGAGCTCTTTCGGGGGACTGAATGAAAATAACTTCAACCCCAGGATACTCTACCCAGCAAAACTATCATTCAAAATAGATGGAGCAATAAAAGTCTTCCATGATAAGCAGAAACTAAAACAATATGTGGCCACAAAGCCACCACTACAAAAGATTCTTCAAGGGATTCTGCACGCAGAAAGTGAAACCCAACAAAACCATGAAAGGGCAGGCAGCACCAAACCACAGGAGAAGAAAAAGCAAGAAAGTAGAGAATAACCTCAACTTAGGTACACATAATCAAACCTTCAAACAACTAGGACAACTAAATGACAAGAATCACCACATGCCTATCAGTACTAACACTTAATATTAATGGACTTAATTCCACAATCAAAAGGCACTGTTTGACAAACTGGATTAAAAAGGAAAATCCAACAATTTGTTGCTTACAAGAGACCCATCTCACTGACAGAAATAAACATAGGCTTAGGATGAAAGGCTGGAAGAAGATTTACCAAACCAATGGCCCCCAAAAACAGGCAGGAGTAGCAATACTTATCTCTGACAAAGTAGACTTCAAACCTACATTGATCGAACAAGATAAAGAAGACATTCCATACTAACAAAAGGGGAAATAGACCAAAAGGAAATAACAGTTATCAACCAATATGCACCCAATGTCAACGCATCCAATTTCATCAAACATACCCTGAAGGACCTAAAAGCATATATTAACTCAAACACAGTGGTTGTGGAAGACTTTAACACCCCATTATCATCAATAGATAGGTCATCCAAACAAAAAATCAATAAAGAAATCCTAGATCTAAAATATACAATAGATCAAATGGACCTAGTTTATGTCTACAGAACATTTCATCCAACTTCTACACAATATACATTCTTCTCAGCAGCCCATGGAACCTTCTCCAAAATAGATCATATACTAGGACACAAAGCAAGCCTCAGCAAATATAAGAAAACAGAAATTATACCATGAATTCTATCTGATCACAATGCAATAAAACTAGAACTCAACAAAAGTAAAGACAAAAAACATGCAAACAGCTGGAAACTGAATAACTCATTGCTTAATGAACATTGGGTCATTGATGAAATAAAAGAGGAAATTTAAAAGTTCCTGGAAGACAATGAAAATGAAAACACAACCTACCACAACCTATGGGACACAGCAAAGGCAGTCCTGAGAGGAAAGTATATAGCCATGAGTGCATATATTAAAAAGACTGAAAGATCCCAAATCAATGACCTAATGATACATCTCAAACTCCTAGAAAAACAAGAACAACCAAATCCCAAAACAAATAGGAGAGAAATAATAAAAACAAGAACAGAAATCAATGAAATAGAAACCAAAAAAAAAAAATACAAAGAGTTAATGAAACAAAAAGTTGGTTCTTTGAAAAAATAAACAAGATCGACAGACCTTTGGCAAACCTGACTAAAATGAGGAGAGAAAAAAACCCAACTTAGTAGAATCAGGAATTCAAAAGGGGAGATAACAACAAACACCATGGAAATCCAGGAAATCATCAGAAAATCTTCAGAGACTACTTCGAGAACCTATATTCAAATAAATTCGAAAATCTTAAAGAAATGGACAGATTTCTAGATACAGATGATCATCCAAAACTGAACCAAGAGGAAATTAATCACCTGAATAGATCTATAACACAAAATGAAATTGAAGCAGCAATCAAGAGTCTCCCCAAAAAGAAAAGTCCAGTACCTGATGGATTCTCTGCTGAATTCTATCGACCTTTAAAGAAGAACTGATACCAACCCTCCTTAAACTGTTCCACGAAATAGAAAGGGAAGGAAAACTGCCAAACACCTTTTATGAAGCCAGTATTACACTTATCCCAAAACCAGGCAAAGACACCTCCAAAAAGGAGAACTATAGGTCAATCTCCTTAATGAACATTGATGCAAAAATCCTCAACAAAATAATGGCAAACCGAATTCAACAACACATCAAGAAGATCATTCACCACGACCAAGTAGGCTTCATCCCAGGAATGTATGGGTGCTTCATCATATGAAAATCAATAAATGTAATAAACCACATTAACAGAAGCAAAGACAAAAGAGCCACTTGATCATCTCAATAGAGGCAGAAAAAGCCATTGATAAGATCCAACACCATTTCATGATAAAAGCTCTAAGAAAACTAGGAATAGAAGGAAAGTACCTCAGCATTATAAAAGCTAATATGACAAACCTACATCCAGCATTATACTTAACGGAGAAAAACTGAAACCATTCCCTCTAAAATCAGGAACCAGACAAGGATGCCCACTATCTCCACTCCTATGCAACATAGTACTGGAATTCCTAGCCAGAGCAATTAGGCAAGAAGAAGGAATAAAAGGAATACAAATAGGTAAAGAAACTGTCAAAATATCCCTATTTGCAGATGATATGATCCTATACCTTAAAGACCCAAAAAACTCTATCAAAAGCTCTTAGACACCATCAATAGCTATAGCAAGGTAGCAGGATATAAAATCAGCATACAAAAATCATTAGCATTTCTATACACTAATAATGAACAAACTGAAAAAGAATATATGAAAACAATTCCATTTATAATAGCCTCAAAAAAAATCAAATACCCTAGGTGTAAACCTAACAAAGGATGTGACTGACCTCTACAACGAAAACTATAAACTTCTGAAAAAGAGATTGAGGAAGACTATAGAAAGTGGAGAGATCTCCCATACTCATGGATTGGTAGAATCAACATAGTGAAAATGTCGATACTCCCAAAATTAATCTACATGTTTAATGCAATTCCCATCAAAATTCCAATGACATTCATTAAAGAGATTGAAAAATCTATCGTTAAATTTATATGGAAACTAAAGAGGCCACGAATAGCCAAGGCAATACTCAGTCAAAAGAACAATGCTGGAGGTATCACGATACCCAACTTCAAACTATATTACAAAGCAATAACAATAAAAACAACATGGCACTGGCACAAAAACAGACATGAAGGCCAGTGGAACAGAATAGAGGACCCAGATATGAAGCCACACAACTATAACCAACTTGTCTTTGACAAAGGTGCTAAAAATATATGATGGAGGAAAGATAGCCTCTTCAACAAAAACTGCTGGGAAAACTGGTTAGCAGTCTGCAAAAAACTGAAACTAGATCCATGTATATCACTCTGTATACCAATATTGACTCAAAATGGATCAAGGAACTTAATATCAGACCACAAACTCTAAAGTTGGTACAGGAAAGAGTAGGAAATACTCTGGAATTAAGAACTTTCTCAATGGAACCCCAGCAGCACAGCAACTAAGACACAGCATAGATAAATGGGACTTCATAAAACTAAAAAGCTTCTGCTCAACAAAAGAAATGGTCTCTAAACTGAAGAGACCACCCACAGAGTGGGAGTAAATATTTGCCAGCTACACATCAGACAAAGGACTAATAACCAGAATATATATGGAACTTAAAAACTAAATTCCCCCAAAATAAATGAACCAAAAAAGAAATTGGCAAGTGATCTAAACAGAACTTTCTCAAAAGAAGAAATTCAAATGGCCAAAAAACACATGAAAAAATGCTCACCATCTCTAGCAATAAAGGAAATGCAAATTAAAACCACACTAAGATTCCACCTCACCCCTGTTAGAATAGCCATCATCAGCAACACCACCAACAACAGGTGTTTGTGAGGATGTGGGGAAAAAGGAACCCTCTTACACTGTTGATGGGAATGTAAACTAGTACTCTGGAAAAAAATTTGGAGGCTTCTTAAAAAGCTAAACATAGATCTACCATTTGATCCAGCAATACCACTCTTGGGGATATACCCAAAAGACTGTGACACAGGTTACTTCAGAGGCACCTGCACACCCATGTTTTTGCGCACTATTCACAATAGCCAAGTTATGGAAACAGCCAAGATTGCCCCACTACTGACGAATGGATCAAGAAAATGTGGTATTTATACACAATGGAATTTTATGCAGCATGAAGAAGAACGAAATTTCATTTGCTGGTAAATGGATGGAATTGGAGAATCATTCTGAGTGAGGTTAGCCTGGCCCAAAAGACCAAAAATCGTATGTTCTCCCTCAGATGTGGACATTAGATCAAGGGCAAACACAACAAGGGGATTGGACTTTGGACACATGATAAAAGCCAGAGCACACAAGGGAGGGGTGAGGATAGGTAAGACACCTAAAAAATTAGCTAGCATTTGTTACCCTTACACAGAGAAACTCAGATACCTTAAAGCAACTGAGGCCAATAGGAAGGGGACCAGGAACTAGAGAAAAGGTTAGTTCAAAAGAATTAACCTAGAAGATAACACACACGCACAGGAAATTTAATGTGAGTCAACTCCCTGTATAGCTATCCTTATCTCAACCAGCAAAAACCCTTGTTCCTTCCTATTATTGCTTTATACTCTCTTACAACAAAATTAGAAAATAAGGGCAAAATAGTTTCTGCTGGGTATTGAGGGGGTGGGGGGAGAGGGAGGGGGGGTGGGTGGTAAAGGGAGGGTGGGGCAGGGGGGAGAAATGACCAAGCCTTTGTATGCACATGTGAATAATAAAGAAAAGAAAAAATTAACTTAGAAGGTAACACACATGCACAGAAA